ATCGGTAAAAAAAAGCAATCTTTTCAGAAAAAAGTTTAAAACGCGACTTTTTCAAAATTTGAAAAAAATCGTTTCAAAAAATCTTTCCTTATTTTTTGGAAAGTTCAATATCTTTTCCTGTTTTATGAAATTTTTATTTCTATTCTCCTGAAACTTTCTATGGTTCTCCGCTATGGATATGGTGCATACTTTTTCTAGTGGATATGGGTAGACCATAGTTAGCAAGTATAGGTAGACAATTTCTCTCTAGAAAGATAAAAATTGAAGTCACCTACCCAATACTTATCTTGACGAATATAATAGATAATCATCTTATGATTCAGAGATATATCACATTGAATATTTGAAATTTATATTTATAGGGAGGTCATTTTTATACTAAATGATATATATAGAGCAAAAGCATTACTCCTCACTACTATTAAATTTTTTCTATACCAAGTGATATATATATTTAGAGTTTTAAAAATTCTAATATTTTAAATATATCTGATTTTTTTATTCTGATTTTTTAAGCCTATTCCGATATATTCGCAATCTCTTTACATGAAGTATTTTTGCCGATCCATATTTTTTACCCGATTTTTTTATCTGACTTTTAAAATAAAAAAAATTAGTTTCTAATTTCATGATGAGCCGATTTATTGATAATCCCCGACTTGGTAACTATGGATGGGACGCCCATAATCTCCTACAAGAAGCTTGTTTCAATTCGTGTGATTAAACAACGGATTTGTGCCGATTTTGGCCAAAAATTTGTGGGCTCTCATGCATCAGTTTTTATGGAATCTCGAAATCCATCAAAGACGAAAGAGGGTTTTTTTGAAAATTGAAGTTGGTATTTGGATCTTTGATCACTTAGATCTCTTCTTCGACAGGTAGATATATATATATATATATATATATATATATTTAATTTTTTTTTTTTTGTGCTTTTTATGTTTCTTGTTCGAGTTTTCTGTTTTTAGTTTCTTGCTTGAGATTTTTATATATTTAATCTTTCTGAAATCCTCCTAGACATGAATTTTTTCGTATTTTTTTAACCAAATTTGGTGAAATTCGGTTCAAATTAATCATATTGACTCAATATACAACTCTATTTGTTCAATTTGTTTGATCTATAGCTATTTCTTGCTTGAGATTTTTATATATTTAATCTTTCTGAAATCCTCCTAGACATGAATTTTTTCGTATTTTTTTAACCAAATTTGGTGAAATTCGGTTCAAATTAATCATATTGACTCAATATACAACTCTATTTGTTCAATTTGTTTGATCTATAGCTAGGTTTTAGGGTTTCCTACTACATGCTATTTTATTGAAAAATTATTAATAAATTACTTATTTTTTCTTAGGGGTTTTGATGCATATGCTATTATGAAGGATCAATGCTAATAATCAGTTTTTTCAATTTTTTATAATTATCTTTATTTTTATGGTTGGTTTTTACTTCTCAAAAAATTTAGTATTTTTTACAAAGAGTTTTTTTTTTTTCAAGTTATAAAATGAAATTTTGTTTGGGAGTTTTTTTTGAAAGGTTTATCTTATTTTTTTTATAAATTCTTCAAATTTATATTTATTTTTTTATTTTATTTTATACTTTATTACAAAAGAGTGTAAGTGTATAATTCATTTTTTAAAAAGACTTATAGCTATAAAATTTATTAATTTCTCTAAACTGTCAATTTATTATATTTAATAAATATTTTTGAATCTATGTTCCTTAAAATAATTTGATATGAGATTGCAATTTACATTTATTCAATAATTAAAATGTTAGTTTGCATTATAAGGTTTCTTTTATATCCATGATGTATGGTTTAACGTTTCTACAGCCTTCTATACTTCATTTTGTTCATAAATTGAAACATTTCAACGATGGGTAACAACATCATGAAGAAGAAGAACGATGCTGTCTTTAATTTTGGTATAAGTTATATTTTAGTAGTTCTATGATTCATTTTTGAATCATGTATTCATGATAATTGTATTTTAATAGTTGTATTAGTGAATTTCTGCAAAACACCGAAAGTACATAATGCACCACTTTTATTTTATTAGGAAACTCAAAATAATGATATGTGTTAGGTTATTTAGTGATTTTCTGTAATTTTTTTAAGGCTAGATGCACCGATTCTCCGATACAAACGGTCCATCCAAATTGGGTTTTTGAATGGGCGATCCAGCCCCCGATCCATTTTTTAAATATGGGCTTAGGATAAGATCAAGGTGGAGGCACGTGCAAACGTCACATGACTACGGGTGGCATGGTGCGAACCTTAAAATTAGGGCATGAGGCGTAAGATGTGGCTTGAGAGCCGGGCCAAGGGAGGCCCATCATGGCCTGAGATTAGGGTCAGGCTGGGCCGCGACAGAGCGGCCCGCTACCCGGTGCTCTTTTTCTTTAACTTGATTTTATTTTTTAAAATTACATCTAGCCGTTCCCCCACCCAAACTAGGGTCGGACCTGGTCCTGAGCCTCCTTGGCCATAGTCCGAGCTTGGACGGGCTTTGGTTGCCCCTGTGGAAAACAGGGCAAGGTTGGTCCAACCTGTTGCCAGCCATAAACATGACATACATATGTCAACTTAAAAACTTAAAAAAAGACTTAAAAACTTAAAAACTTAAAAAAAGAAGGAGAAAGAAGTAAATTTGAGTCGGTGGAACATGTTTGATAAGATCAAATCATATCATTTTTTTAATAACCATGTAATATCTAAATCCCCAATAATTTAGCTCTGAGTTGAAATTTCCAGGATACTTAAATTAGGCAGCATTCCATTTCTCCGACTAACTTGATGGGATGTAATTTTCTATCCCTAAAAAAAAAGGTCTCTTCGTGAATCGCCTGCAAATCCTTTAAAACAGGCAAGCCTTTATATTCATATTTAACAAAATTTTAATATTCAAATTCTGTTTTGTCAAAGAGCCCCTTAATCTTATAGCAAGATGAGGCGGTCCTACAACAACTATACTTGTTAGTTTGACATTAGGGCAAATTACAAGGAAATAGCACCCTCAACCCCAACAGAATAGTCATCACAAGAGACTCCCAACATTAAGGATGAGACCTATAGGGCACTAATTGGTTTCTCTAAAGAGCCCTACACGGTAGATTGAGAAAGACCTAGCATAAAAACGTGGATAATAAGAAATGAAATAAAAATTGCAACCCCCCTGCCCCATAATAGTGGTCCCGGACAAACCCTTAGGTTCATCGAAAACCGGAGGAGGCCTTCCGAAATTTTATTCATAGGACTCCAAATTTTATTCTTTTGATGTCTGCCCCTCTATACATTTTTGCCCAGATGATTTAAAAATATACCCTTATTCTGAATTTATTTGAAAATAAATAAATAAATCTTCTATTTCCTTTTTAATAATTTGGAATCATTCTTTTAAATAAATTTAGAAATAAATAGAGAACTTTTTTTAAAAAAATAAATAGAAAATAGAATGTTTAGATGCAATAGAAAATTACAAAATGGTGAATTTTCCACCTATACTATGTTGGAAATGTCAAGACATGGAGGTGAATTTCCCACCTTCCCTATGTAGAAAATGTCAAATGGGGGGCAATCTGATGCGAACCAGGGAGAGAGAATGAAAGAGCAAAAAAAAAAAAAGAGAAAAAAAAAATGGTTTCCATTCTCACCACTAACACCACCTCATTAATACCTTCAAAAAGTTAACTCCTAATCTACTTGAAAAAATGGCTAGAGACCTGTTTTCCACATTGAATTACCCAAAAAATAAAATAAAATAAAATCAAAAGATCAAAATTATTCACTCTGCCCATGCTCACATGCACCACCTCATATGTTAAGGAGAGCGTATCCCTTTACAGGTTAATTATAGAAGGTGTACTTTATAACCAGCGTATATGGAAAGGTAGGGGCAGTATCCTATGTTTTATGGTAATTGTGGTTATAGTATGGGAGTCTTTGATTTATTTCTATTCTTGTAATATGTAGGCAGTATATTCATATTGATGGGGGCAAACATTCTATGCTTCCCCTACAACATAAAACTTATATGGTTCCCCTTATCCAACCGTCCATTCTGAATAGAGTGTTAAGATTGCCCCAATCACAATGTCACATCTCTATATTATTTTATTTTTAATTTTTTTTACAAACTATTTTGACACCAAATGTTGTATATCCAATCCTCTATTAAACTCGCATAATTGAAAAATATATAAAAAAAAATTCAATAAAATAAAATAACCAAAATACCCTTGAAAGTTTCAAGGGATATTTTGGTCATTATATTTTATCGAAAATTTATTTTTAATATTTTTAATATGTGCGCCCCAATGAGAAGATGACACGTACCAAATTTTATATTCATACAATTTATATAAAAAAAACTAAAAATAAAATTATTTGATATGTCGGATTTAAGATCAAATAGTGAGTGGCTCTCTTGATCAAAATTGGATGGCTGGATGATAGGAGAAGCATATATCTTTGTAGGGGACGTATGAAAACCTTCTCTTATTGATTGATGGACACTGAGGGGTTGTTTGGATACCTCGAAATATATTGTCTGTGAAATACATTACTGGCGTAATACATTATGGATTGTCACTGTTTGGGTAGTATTTAAATGCAACTTAGGAAATACATTATTATTGTTTAACTATGTCCAGAAGAAATATGGGAAATGTATTACCAATATTTTTTTTTGCTTTTTTGACTTTATACCCAAAACATAGTTGAACGTACAATCCCTATTAGTATGTAGCTTAAACTTTATAATTGCATCAGGCACAAGAATTAGCCACACCTTTTGTATGTCTTTGCATCTTGACTTGGAATCACATGTTTTCAAGATGTCAACACTTTGGAATAACATACTTTTATTATGATAAGCCATCATATTTTTTATGTTTTCTTTCCTTGTGCTAAAGCCTTTCGATCATCTCTCTCCATAAAACTTTCATGGCAAATTCAAGATCATCTCTCTCCATAAAACTTCCTTGGCAAATTCAAAAGAAAAAAAAGTTTGGAAAAATTTGGCTACTAACCTAAAAGGCTTTATGACTAAATGATGTATTGGTGGAGAAATTATGTTGGGGCATTGGAGGAGATTAAAGAGGTAAATTAATTTTCTTTTAAAAAAAATTCAAGCACACTTATTTGACTATCGAGTGAACTCAAGTATTTTGAATTTATCAACAAACAATAGTAGCAAAAAAAAATAAAGCCAAAAAAAATAAACAGACTAATTTTAAGAAAGTATCCAAATCCATTAATTTTTTTGGAACAATACTATAGCTGTGGTGAATAACTCAAAAAACAAATTTTTTAAATCTGAAAATAAACGATAACTACAACAGTGGTGCATAACCGAAAAATAAATCTTGGATATCTGGAACTAGGCTATCGGGTTTTAGCTGCTAGTTGAAGATGGGTTCGCTGTGTAATTTTTCGGGTTTCAGATGCTAGTTAAAGAAGATGGAGCTTGGAGTTACCGGGTTTTAGCTGCTAGTTGAAGAAGATGGGCTACCTGATTTTTCAGTTTTTAGCTGCTAGTTGAAGATGGAGAAGATGGAATTGGTGTGTAATTTTTGAGGTAGTTGAAGAAGAAGATGGAGTTGCTGTGTGATTTTTGAGGTAGTTGAAGAAGATGAGCGGCTGTATGATTTTTGAGGTAAGGGAGCTATTGGTTACAGAAAATAGGTTTGTTGTGAGTTGAAAAAGAAGATGGAGTTGCTGTGTGATTTTTGAGGTAGTTGAAGAAGATGAGATGCTGTATGATTTTTTAGGTAAGGGAGCTATTGGTTGCAAAAAATATGGTTGTTGTGGGTTTTAGTTTCTGGTTGGAGGAAATAAGGTTGTTGTGGGTTTTAGCTTCTAGTTGGAGGAGCTGCTGTGATTTTGGAGGTAAGGGAGCTATTGGTTACAGAAGATAGGACTATCGCGTTTTAGTCGGTAGTTGGAAGATTTTTATTTTTATTTATTTATTTAATTTTTATTTTTATTTTTGTGATTTATTAGGAGATGAATCACAAGATCTGTGGGTAACTAGCGAGCCAAAAAGATTTAGTCTGATAGATTTATGTAATAGATTTTCTGAATTTTAGGGAAATTTTGTTTTCCATTGCTTGATAGATTTCTGTAATAGATTTTCTGAATTTTAATGAAATCTTTGATAATCTTCTTTCATTTCCTTCCTATATGAAAATGTTATATTTTCGTGTAATCTATTTTCATGTAATAGATTTTCAGGTTACCAAATGGCCTCTGTCAAGGTTCCCAAACATCCCAGGAGAGTTCTCTTGGACACAGAGTTCTCTTCAGAGAAACCTACTACTCTTCACAATATATACTCAAACTTTCTAGTCTAAGGATCCTCTAAACACCCGAAACTAAGTTCCCATACGTAAGAAAATCCAAAATCATCTAAAACCTCTCAAAGCATGTATATGGAAGTTTTCTAGGAACAAGTATGCAAATGATTATTCTTAACCAATAGATTATTAAGCAGTTCGTAATATTGTATGAAGCTCAAGCCATTATATTAGTACATTTCCTTTAAGAGACCTTAAAAGAACTGGAAGTACCAGTGAAATATTCAAGAGAAGAGGCTGTTAGGCTCTTTGCAGACCCAAAATGCCTCAACCTATAAACTCCAAGAGCAGCTGTTTGAGGTATTTCCCATTGAATAGTGGCTAAACCAGAGTCAGTAGTATTTTCCAGACTCCACTTGAAAATTAATGAAAAATCATCATCATCATATGCTGGAACCCATGTTTTCTGATCACTACTGAGCATTTCGACAGCGGCAAAAGTGCCTTCTGTTAAAAGATCATTTCTTGGGTTGCCGCTCCAAAAGGTTGCGCTCACAATTTGGCCTCTCTTAACGTTATCAGAACCGACGTCTTTCTTTACATCACCAAAGTTAACATTTGACGGTTTCCTGTCACCTGTTGGTGGTTTCACAAGGATTAGTTCGACTGAAGATAGATCCGGAGGTGATGGCCCTTCATTTCCTATATTTTCTCCTATTGCCATTGATGCGGCAAGCTTGTTGAATTCTTGGATGTATGCAGACAACGTATGAGGGCCAAATAGAGTGGAAGCAGCCTGTGAAATTCAGATTATCATTAACGTAGACAATAATCAGCATTTCATATTTCTTACTGTTACTGGGCACTGTAAAAATTATGCTTGGGTTTGAGCAGTTAGTATAGTTGTTGAATACTACATCCCTAGTCAATATCATACTGTTACTGGAACCCATTTCTTTTGAATTCTAATCCCTACATCGTTGTTTAATGCTGCATCCCAAAGTTTTTTTTTTTTCACACAAGACCCCAAAAATTTTATTTCCACAAAGTTTAAAAAAGACCATTGTAAAACAAAAAAAATAAACTTTGTTGAGTGGGAATGTCATGCATTAGGGGTATATTCAGAATTTTCTTTATGAGGATCTTTTTGAAAATTTGTAGTTCCAGTTTTAAAGATAATATGTATGCTTGTTTAAGTTTACAAATATGTGAGGGTCTCTCCTTTTTTTTTTTTTTTTTTTGAGAATGTTGCCTAGATGGATTGGCTCTCAGAAAGGTATGTGGCCGCTGTTGGAGTGCGCTCCATTGATTTCAACTTCTCTTTTATTCATTCATTTATCTTGGCTTGCTTCTAATACTATGTCAATTGAAACCCCTAAATATCACTCACAGGATCAACTATTCCATGGACAAAGAAGTGAAAAAAAAAAAAAATCGCACCCAGGAAAAATAAGCTATCCCATGCCAAAAATAAATAACCCAATGAAGATATCTTAAATATATCTCAGCCACTAAGTTTAATATTATAGGTTGAAATTCTTTTGCTATTCCTTTTACTCTTTACTAAGATAAATTCACTCTGCTGATCTTCAATAAGCTTAGGCTGAAATCAATAGTATAATGGCCACTATTCTTTTGTAAGGAATTGAAAAATATGATTTGTAATTGTGAAATGATACACATACACACACGCACACTCATACACACTCACAATATACCTCATATCTTTGTTGTTGATATTCTTCAAATGTGGTAATATATTGCGAATAGGTGTTCGCGAGTCCTGCAATGAGAACATGGGTATTTTCATCGAATTCTCCTTTTCCTTGGTTTACCAGCGTATCCTTGACGGCTTCTCTTATTCTCCTGCCCGCCATTGTTGTAAGTTCTGTGAAATATAAAATCCTCATGAACTCATAATTTTTTAGTTAACTAGGTCATTAGTATTTGAAAAAATGAAGTTAAATGGCATGAAAAAGCATGGCTGGATTCTTTGTTCAAGTGATTTCAAGGATACCTAAGGATCTTTCGTATTGGATAAGATATTTTAGAGGATATTTAAGTTGGAATGAACAATTCAGAAGTGCTAGGTATAAATTCCGCTTGAAGTTGGTTTAATAAATATTTTCATCAATGTTTTGTTGGCCCTTGAATGAGTCGATCTTTTAGTGTTAGTTTGTTTATTTTGTAATGTCAAAAGATTTCTCGCTTCAGCAGGAGTTTACTATTGATTTACTCCCTCGGGCAACTGGTAAAAAACAACAAAACATTCTGAAATAAACTCTCTATGTAGTAGAAAAAACTAATGCCTCTAGATTGATTAGATCTAAGAGTGACAAAACTCAAAATTCAATTTTTTTTCTTTTAAAAATAATCATATGGCAAGTCTTATGTGGTTCCCAAAATTTTAGATAAAACACATATTCTTAAATTGGTGTTTTGGGCAAGGGAGCATATACATAGTATGCTCCTGCAGAAGCATAATATACATGCTTGTAATGTAATTGTTTGAGAACACAAGTGGTTAGTGGTCAAAAAAACGTCTTGGGGTTTTATTGTGAACTTTATATGAATAGTGACATACAGTAAGTAGCTTTTCTTTGGTATAATCATGGCCGTTGATTGTTTAAAACATTAAAAGTGGTAGTACACCTAAGACTTTCTATGCGGGAAAACTTAATGTTTAAGGAATATCTAGTGTATTTTACTTATGTGAAAGGCTGGGACTTTTCAAGAATTCATATAAGCATGTCTGAATGCATGTATGCCTCACAGGTGTGTATGCTAAAAGGGCAAAAGCCCATTCATAGCTTGGCTCATTATAAATAGTTCCAATAGAAACAATCAGCACAATTTTGTTTGGAAACATCCGATAAAATTGGAATGACATGGAGAAGAATAGTATACAGGTCAGGCCAGCCCTGTACCCTATAGGGCTGGCCCGAACCTGGCTAGGACTGAATCGTGCCGAAGAGGCCCTGGCTTTGGCCCTGTCTAGGCCTAGCCAAAAAACATATGGAGTAAGAAGATAGAAACGGGGAAAAAGGGTTGGGCCTAGCCATCTCTTTCGTGGTTGTAGCCCAGCCTGGCTCTTGGGCCACAAAATAGGTCACATATTTTGTGGCCCAGGCCTAGTTTTTAAGAGCTAGGCCGAGCTAGGTCATCTGGCCAATGGCTAGCTAAGGATGACACACATAAAATAGTTTAAAAAAAAGAAAGAAAGAAAGGGGATAAAAACAATTATCACAATAGACCTTTGACTCTCATTGTGCTCACGACACTAAATAAATATGCGCACTATAGTTTACCTCCGGGCACTGCCAGTATGACAAGTTGACCTATCCTTAAGATCTGGATGGGAAGAATTGCTGGCTGCAAATTAAAATCAATCAGAACAACGCATTCATTGTAGTTATGAACTTTAATTAAGAAATTTTCATCAAAATTTGATATATGAAACAATTTCAAGTATACCGCCCATTGATAAGGTTCGAACATTTCTCCAACATCAAGGAGAATGGCCTTGGGCTTGTGGCAATCAATCTGACTTTGGCTTGGTTTATGCAATGAATCCCGTGTCCTCCTCCATTTTTCACTGATCTAAAACAACCCAATACATGCTCATTATCAATACATTGTGCACTTCTGATTGCAAGATGATGAAATATAAATATGTTTCTATAGCAGTAATTAGAATCACTGTTTCAAAAAGCGGACCGCCCAATGCCTGGGCGGCCACCTAGGCGGATATCCCTGGGTAGACCCCCAACTGCCTAAGTGCCGCCTAACGCTTTTTGAAACACTTTAGAATTGAACGACTAAGAGAGAAATGTCTCCATAGAAAATGACCTTTGTATCTCCTTGTTGAAATCCTTCTATTCCACCGCCATCTGTGGTACCAGCAGCAAAGCCAGGCCCCAATGCAGCTGGGCATGTATTCACGACCTCTTGACTCTCCAATTCCACAGCAATATTTGTAAAATTGACATAGACATGGCGATAATCTACTTTTCCTGATATTTGGTCCTTTGCTGTAGTGAAAAGATCAACTGCTTTTTGGAATTGCCTCTCTCCTATGATTTTAGTGCTCGATATTTCATCTGGGTAACTATCTTTCCCAAACCCAAAAAAAAAAAAGAAAAAGAAGAAGAAAAAGTCACTTCATTAATGTGCCTAACATTAGTGGGTATTGGATCCTTTGTATTTGTGAAATAATTAAATACCTACATTCATTTTATAATTCTCTGTTTCTTAGTCTAATTCTAAAAGTACATATTCTCCTACATGCAACAATGAACAAAGTGCAGGACTTGGCATTTAATCAATCACCAATCAATGTTTCATTATGCCCATTTTGATAGATTGTTGCTGAGGATTTTTATTTTTATTTTTTAAAAAATGTAATAGGTCTTGACATTTCAAGTCCAATCTTATTTCTTATTTCTTCTTTCTTAGTGCTCTTTTCTTCCTTCATCATCTTCTTCAATCAAATTCTTTAATTATTTCTCTTGAATATCTAATCTTTGTTTTCTTTTTTCTATTTCAGTTTTTCTATTTCTTTTAAAATTGATTCTTAGTCCATCCTGTTGTTAATGGTTCTTTTTATACTTTTATTTTCTAATGTCTCTATTTTGTTGGTTTCAATTTTGGTTACCTACTCTGTGTCAACTTCAGCTTTTGTGTTTTTGTGTCTTGTAGAATGCTTGTTTTCCACCTCCTTCAAGGACAATGATTTCATCCATCCTACTACTTCTTATATTCTGTAATTCTTTTGTAGGATGTGAATGATTAGAGTATATAAGCAGCCATAGATTTTACATGGAACATTTTTCTTTTATTTAGGTAAGAAAAGAGAGGCACACTATCAAACCAAAGAATAAAAAATGGCAAAATATAGTATGTGTTTATGTAGCTATTGGTCAAAATACATCTTCCGTGACTTAGTGACTACTGTCAAGGAACAAGAAGCAATAGAACACACTATTGTGGTAGCTAAAACAATGGATTCACCTGCTACATTACCATACCTCGCCGGTCTTGGCTAAATATTTTATGTAGCGTGAATGACATACTTAAATAATTCATGATGATCCCTCTAAACAAGCACAAGCTTATCATCAAATGTCTCTTCTATTAAAAAAAGAAGCCTGGACACAAAGCTTATCCAGGAAATGTTTTTTATTTGCAGATTTTATTAGTGTTTGTGCATGTATGCATGTAATAAATTTGAAGGTATATGCATGCCTAGGTATGTACATTCATACTAGCACTTAGAAAGGTTTTCTAAGTGTACATGTATGAAATAATATTTAAAGGGATGTTCATGCATATTAGTATCTACAACACTAGACACTAGTGGATGTTTTACAGTTTTACCATCTATTCTCTATGGATCCTATCAGTTGGGATTGCAATTTTTTGCTCTTGACACTAGTGGATGTTTTACAGTTTTACCATCTATTCTCTATGGATCCTATCAGTTGGGATTGCAATTTTTTGCTCTTAGGGGGAAGAGGAATACCCTGGCCCTCTTCCAACGCAAAGCAGATTGTTTCCATTGCAAGAAGAGTGGTTGAAATCACAAGGCGTGCCAGAGTCAATACAAATTGTTCCTAATACATTAGGGCTCACATCTCCCACATTTGATTGGCAAAATGCTCCCACAAACTTCTGTGATTTTCTCACTCTATATTGTCTACTTGTCTCATTGTTGCATGCCTCCCCTCCTGTTGCCTTTATTGCTGCTATTGACTCATTTGATTCTGTTTCAAACAACAATGAAATTCAAATGAAAGATGGTACAATGAAAAATGTTGATACCTAAGAAATATATGCATAATCTAGGCTTCCCATGATATATGTTTTGCTGGTATTTAGTTGTTGATGGATGGTTGCATTAGAGAATGTATGACCATATGCAACTACACCATATGGCTGGCTCAAGTCCTGCCCTGGCCCTAACTACACCATATGGCTGGCTCAAGTCCTGCCCTGGCTCTGTTAGGGCCGGGTAGGGCCAAAAACAAACAAATAAAAATAAAAAGAAGAAGAGGAAGAAATGGGTCGGGCCAAGCCGGGCCAATCCCGACCACCCTCGGGTCACAATTTTTGGCCCGGGTCCTACTTTCCTAGGGCTGAACCGACCGGCCGGAACATTGCCAGCCCTACAAGAAAGTATTCCAAAATATTTCAAAAACATTCAAAAGGCTCAATTGTTTTTTTTTTGTGTGTCTAGGGGTCCTAACAAAATCCAACTTTCATTTTATCAATGATAAAAAGAAGAAAACTTCACCTGGGTTCGGAGAGGGAGAAGTTGGAGAAGGCCCTTCATGTGTTGTGAACCAGTCCTCAAAGAACCTAGCAGCTGCCCCTTTGTTATCACCACTAATAAGTTTGTTTTCCTTAGTCATGGAGGTCCCATGGGTCGCAAACCATGAGAAAGCACCAAGTGGTGCACCTGTTTTTTGGTCCACCAACTTTAAGAGGGTCATCTCAGGGTCCACATCTTGAGGGTATTTGGCCCTCTCTTGTGCAGGATTGAACAAGTATGCACTAGGACTCCTGTTTATACCCGCATTCTCCACATCTCCTGTGTCAAAATTATGCTTATCAGCATTTCCATTCTTTATTTTGGTGTCTCTTAATTTAATTTTTCTTCATTAATTTGGAGAATATTTATGGTGTATGAGTACTTCCAATTTTTTTTTAATTTGGACTTTTTAATTAGGAAATGTTTGGTGGGTCCCACACTTTCTCAATAACTGCCTGATCCATTGAATGGATAGTGATGATTCTTAGTAACATATATTTCATGGAGTATATGAAACTTAGAAAAGTATATAAAGAGGCTATTTATTTTTTATATATGGAGCACACAAGTGCTCTTGGCCGTCAGATTTTAAATTGGATGGTTGTAAGAGTGTCATTGACTAAGCTCAAACTCCAAAAAAAAATTCTCAAATTTCGTGATACATCTTCAGCCATCCAATTTAACATCTAATGGCTAGAAATACTTGTGACCTTGTAACAAAGATAAATGGTCTCATAGCATGAAATTCCATGGAAATCCAAGAGGTTATTTATGTCCATATTGGCACAAAGATCTAACAACACGTGCTATGCACATAATTATGCATACGCACGGTATGCACATGCGTGTCTAGGTGTTTCCGATATGCAGATCATCGATGGTTCAAACACACAGATGAACCTACATATGCATGGATTTATGTACACTTGCATGTCATATATCCATTTATGGCACAGTGATAAAGAGGTGTGCATACGTGCATGGTCTTGACATACAAGCTAGATGCTTGGAGCGAATGGTAAAAGAAAAGATCAAGGTCACTTTTTAGTTTGAAGGTAGGTTAAAAAAACACATATAATTAGAATGAGTGTCAAAAATTTAGATCTTAAAATTAATATTTAGGTGTGGCACTAATAGGCATTAAGATGAGAGAGAGCAGACTTAGATGGACAGGTCATGTGTAGCGCCGACCCAATACAACACCGGTTAGACCTGTTAGGAGGCGCGAGTTAGTTCAAGTGGAAAGATTGAAAAGGGCAAAGAGTAGGTATAAAAAAACGTGGTTGGAGGTAGTCCAAAAAGATATGGGGACTTTTTGGCTTCACTGAAGATATGACCTTTAATAGAGCAGAATGACAAACTAACAATCATGTAACTGACTCTAATTAATTGGAAAACGGTTATGATGATAGTGATGATAAGCCATGTTACGACCTCACACCATATAAAAAAAAGGATATGGGATTTTAAGTGTCATTTACCTTTGGAAAACGTTTATATAAGGTTGCAATATCATGTTATAAAAGTAAGGTGCATCTCAAAAATCCAGTAGAAAAGTGTCTAAAAATAATGCTTCTTGTAACAAATTACTTAGACCATCTATTTTCAAGATTTTCAAGTATTTATAGACTTACACAGTCAGCATTATTTTTAGAATTTGAAATTTCAATAATTAAGGTTGAACATAAATTTCAAGTTATTCTTTCCACAAAATTTAAAGGTGCACCTATATGATATAAGGTGGGCACCTTATACAAACCTCACCTCACTACTTTTATTATAATTTTCATAAAAATATATAAAAAAACAAGATCCAAATTTTTAAAATATAAAACAAGTGTATATAAAGCACAAAAAAACCATACATGCATGTTTATATTTCATGCAACTGTAGAAATGAATTAAGTACAAAAAATATATATAATGAAACTATTTACCTTTGATACATGACGGTCACAATTAATCTTGACCATTATATTTAAAGGTTTTGATTATAAGTATGTACCTTTGTTGATGAGCAGAGAAGCTGGAGCTAAGGTATTGTGAGCCTGAACTATGCTCTCCTCTATGGCGTTCTCCATTGCATCGAAGCATTGGGGAGAGAAGCCCATTGAGGCCAGCACGTAGAGCAGGTATTGAAGGTAGCCACCTGGCGCGGAGTGGGTGTGGGTCCCGCTAATGGCCACGTTATCTTGTGTGTATACATTACCATATCTATAAACCAAAGCAAAAAGGGGACTTCAACACTTCACATGTTAAGGTTCGAATGCTCTTTATTTCTTTTAAAAAAATTTGTTTTTGTAGATGGTTTCAAATTATTTGGACTATGCCTTCTACACTTTTAAAACACTCAATTAAAATAAATATTTGTGGCTATAAAAAAAAAAAAAAAAAAGACTAAAAAGAGAAAAGCAAACCAATCATAACCCAAGTTAAATTAACAATGAAAAAAAATTAAATTTAGAAATTGTTTATATAACCATGTTCATGATTATTGTGATTAAGATTATTGACTCCTAAAGTTTATCCAAAATTCGTATATAAGATGGAAGAACGGATTTTGGAAGGGGATGCATATAAATAGGTGCAAAGCTCGAGGCACCAAAACCTCACCTTATTATAGAAACCGACATAACATGAAAACCATTGTCTTTGGCTTCTCCACTATCTTTTCTCTATGATACCCACCTTCTCTCTCCAATCTTAAAAATCAAAAGAAAAGGGAAAAGAAAACAAAGCTATAGGAAAGATGTCCCCATATTTTTTGGAAAAGTAGACAGTAATTGTGTTAGCTTTGTTCTAAAATTGTCATAATCATTCTTAGTCATCAGATGTGAAATTGGTGAATAAGGGCATTTTAAGCTTTGTTCCAAAATTGTCATAATCATTTCTAACCATCAGATGTGAAATTGATGACTAAGGGCATTTTATTGACCGCAAGTCAGGCCTAAGAAAATCTGTTTTAGATTTATGTGGCCACCTGATTTCACTTATGATGATTATCTTATCGTTTTGTACCAAAGGTGAACTATCTTATGGAAAATTGTTCCATGCATCGGGGGACGCATTTTGACATTTGCATCCCCCTAGGTATAAAGCATCCATCAGGATGCAAATGGGTGGTCCATCTAAAACCAGTTAAAACTAACTGTCCAAATAATTTTTTTATAAAATTCTTATTTTTAATTTTCAAAATTTATTTATTTGTTCATATTCATCATCACCATGTTAGAGTTTATATGTCCTCAAAAATTGGGTCCAAAAATCCATCTCAAAAAAATATTTTTAAGAGGGGACTCATTTGTACATGGACTCATGGAAACCTTGTCCCTATTATAATATACATACTTATATTTGTTTTAACACTTTACCTTTCATGTCCAAATATATGCAAAGTTTCATGGATTACCTAGTCTTAAGCCTTTCAAGGACTTTAATAGTCACTAACTGGGAGGCCATGCCTGCATCCAAGTTCACAAAGGCAATCCTAGGGCCCTCGAATCCCTGAGCCACAATCAATGTTCGAGCTCTAAGGCGAAAGTGAATCCCCGACGCGACCTGACCCATGTTAGCATACCCCATCATGTTCACATCAGCAGCTGGGCCTGTCATGTCGTAACTACCGACACCAACCAGGTAATCTCCAGTGGCGAGATCTGCCTTCGGCGTAGCACGTGAAGCACCACATATCAGTATGAGTGTTGAGAGCAGAGAGACGAGCAAGAAGAGTTGACATAGTTTTTCTTGGAGAATTTTGGCAGAAATAAAAACCATCTTATTAAGTCCTATATGACAATGCTGCTTTCTAAGGGAAAATAGGAGAGGGGGTGGATTTAAATAGCATGTGGCTCCAGTGACTTAGTTTTGAGTCTTTGATGAAAACTGGTCTCTAAGGCAATGTGACAAAGAGAATGGACATAACTATTGACTTAGTTTTGTGACAATTTTGAAGCTTGCATTTTGTTTGGTTGTTATGGGTGATGGGCTGGACGATGAGAATCTCTTTGTGGGTCGCTCCAAGGCTTCCTTGTGACCCAACTTCTTCAGTGATTCCTGCGGCTTCTTTTGTCATTGATGTTCATCCCCTCTCTTCTTTAGTCTTTGATGTTCATCTGTTTGCTCTTTCTTTAGTCTTTGATGTTCATCTGTTTGCTCTCTCTCTTTGATGCCAAATGGGTCCAAGATTGAGAATAAAACTTAGAATTTCATTGCTAATATAGTACCACTTGTGTTAATCTGAAGTGATGCAAAAATGCATTCGCGTTCAGCCAAAATATGTTTTTTGTTAGTTACTTGTAAAAATATTAAGATTCCACAGGGGAAGAGTGGTTTTGTTGTTAAATGACAATTTTTAAGAGGTTTAGAATAATTTTTTGTTCTTAACGGTGTGGCGACGCAGTGTTGGGTTTCGTTGATGAGATCTATTGCCACACATTTGTTGTTGTAGAAAGAATGTGCTCCGTTGAATCCTTTGTTTTCCATTTTCTTTTGAGTGATTTACGTATAAAATATGAAATGCTCCATTTATATGTGGAAATTATAAAGAAGATAGGTCAATCTACTCGTTTTTTTTTTCCAAAAGTGCCCCCTCATTTAACCTGAGTTTTGATTTTTTTTTAGTGTTTTTTAGTTTTTCAAGTGCCTTACAGCTTGATGAAAAAACTAAAAAAAAAAATTAAAAAGAAAAATCAAAATTCGAGTTGACGCAACTTTGAAAAAAATAAAAAAAGTGGGTTGAGGGACTTTGAAAAAAAGTGGGTTGACGGACTTTGAAAAAAATAAAAAAAGTGGGCTCACCTATAAGCGGAGCATTTTGTATTTTATCTAAAATTTTAAGATCCATACATAAATCACTCTTTTCTTTTCTATGTCATTGGTTTTTGAGCTATTTATGTACGGACCCTAAAAAATAAGGAAAATGTGAAAGGAGAATTGTTTCATGAAGGCTGGACCGTATTTCTACAAAATGCGGTCCTAAGGTATAAAGCATCCATCTTAAAGATGGATGCAAATAGGTGGCCCATCTAAAAAAACTTGAAACTAAAGGTCCAAATGTTTTTTAATAGAATTATTATTATTATTATTATTATTATTATTATTATTATTATTATTATTAATATTATTAATATTATAAATTTATTTATTTTTCATATTCATGATCTCCATGTTAGGGATTATTTGTCCTCGCAAATTAAGTCCAAAATCCATTTCAAAAAATAGATTTTTAAGAGGCAACTCATTTTTACATTGATTCATAGATACCGTGTCCAATACGAAATGCTCCTCTTATAGACGAAAATTACAAAAGAGGTTGGTCGATATTTTTTTTTTCTAAAATTACCCCTCGGTTGAAGGATGGCATCCTGAGATCGAATTTGAATTTTTTTTGTTTAGTTTTCTTTAATAGGGCAATGCCCCAAGTTTTAGGGGCAGTTCCCCAAGTTTTAGGGGCAGTGGCCATGCAATCCAAGGTTAGAATGCTTGGACCGATCATTCTATTTTTAGAAAAAAAAAACAACGGTCAGAGGACAGGCTCCTGGACTGAGCGGAGCTGGCGGCCTGAGGTCCCCATCCTCGGGCCACTCCTTATTTTTTGCAAAAATAGTGGTCCAAGAATGGGAAATAGAGAAATAGTGTCTATGTGGGGGTAACACGAAACTATGCTCTGGTATCTACAACCCAGTCAAAATTGCACGAACATGATGCAATACTAATACACCCATTGTCATAGTCTTCGACCATGCCACATCTGATTTGATGGTGGCTACAGTGGTTTCCCTAGCATCTTTCTTAACAATGTCCTCATTCTGCTCTTTCTTGAGGCTTCGACTCTCTTTTTTGTGTTAATTCTTGTCACAATGAAAGCATGTGACCCCCTTTCTAGACTTCAATCAAGTTATATCATTCAATTATTTAGATCGAACTTGGTCCTGATTCTTAGACCTTCCTTGATTTGGCTTGCAAGGTGGATGTGTCAGACAATCTCCTTTCCTTCTCCTCATTCAGTAAGCTACAAGTGACCTGACTCATGGTCCCTTTCCCCTCAAGCATTGAGTTGCTTAGGGATATTACCAAAGTCTCCAGACTGTCTAGTAATGAAGGAGCAACAATAGAGTATGCATCTCATCATCTATGGATATCTTTGCCGTTCCGAGTTGGTTAACAGTACTTTCCACTTCATTTAAGTGCTCTACAATGTAACCCCCATTCATGAACTTCAGATTCACCAACTTTCGGACTAAGAGTGTCTCATTTCAACAATCTTCTCTCGTTCAAGTCATGTAGCATGTTTGATAATGACTTGTAAAAGTATCACTCAATTTATGGTGGAAAACAACTTATTGAACCATTGTTGGATAATTTCAAGAGCCTTTCGGGTAACTTCTTCCACTCATCCATGGTCATACCTTCAAGCTTATGTTCTAATTTATCCCCTACAACACATAAGATTTTCTATCTTCAGCTTCCAAATGATCTACTTATTTCGAATAAGTGAAATGATCCTAGTCATGATATCAGCATCCATCGTTAATCCACACACAGACTTCCACACCCCCTCTCTTCCCCCTTCTTCTTCGCATCGGTGGTTAAGCCTTCACTGGTGATGAGGCCGAGTCATTGGCCATCAACATGTGTCGCCTTTAGTCAAGGTGTCATATGCAGTCAATGAAAGTTGGACAAAGTGATATCGGACGGTGTGTATATATATATATATATATATATATATATATATATATATATATTATTTATTTATTTATTTTTAAAGTAAAACTAACTAAGTATA